ATTCCTCCCGCACTTGGAAACTTTCGATGGATCTCCATAGTTTTAAGGACAAGGTTCAAACACAGCACTTCACAGTTTGCATTTGTTAATCTTCCACTTCATCATTATCTCTGTTTCAGAGTTTAGGCCCCCAAAACCGGAGAAGAAGGTGGGGGTTGCATCACAGGGAACAAGGGTTAGACGCTCAGTCATTCATGTCTGACTCTTTGCGACCCCATGGACTGTAGCCCACCAGGCTCCTCTGTCCATGGGATTCTCCAGGCAAGACTACTGGAGTGGGTTGCTATTCCCTTCTTCAGGGGATTTTCCAAACTCAGGGATTGAATTCAGGTCTCCTGTATTGCAGGCAGATTCTTTACCATCTGAGCCACCGGGGAAGTCCCACATCACAGGGAAGGCCATGCCTAACTCAAAATATGCATAAGGGAGCATTTCATCCTAAGAAAGAACACTGGGTGTTTCAGTTTACACGCTATAGTATTTAAAATTCACTTGGCCCACCTAAAAGATGTGATTCTTGCCAAAAGTCTGATGTGAGAAGGAAACATGGGGTTCACATTGTGTCAAATTTTGCCCATTTGATGAGGTTTTAATTAATTTTATTATACTCTCTCAGATTTGCAGTCAAAATATCCTACGTGCAGTCTTATTTCCTCACTCCACAGACCATATGTTGAAATCAGCTTCCTTTTATTTATTCACATTGGATATAATTTGTTACTGGATTGTCTTAGCATTTCCTCTGCTTGTTACCTTCCGGTTCTTTATTGCATTTTTCCCGACACTTAATTGGAGGTCCCTTTCTCTGTGTGCCCATCTTGTACTTTTTGTTTGACAACAATAGTTTATTTTAAACTAGGTGATGTCTTTTGAAGGCCTGTGTGGACCACTAGCTTCCCATTCCCATCCTGGAAGGATGGTGTCGTCTTTACATCTGCATCAGAGACCTTCACAGAACACTAGGGGCATGCTAGGTATTTCACAATAGTTCTTTCAATTGCTGAAAAACCAGGAGAAATTTTTAATCAATTCAAATAGCACTGAAGCATAAAGTGATATATTACTTTCCAAGAGAACTAGGTCTTTTCCTTCCTGCATGGCACTGGGCAATTTTCAAAAAAGAGATGTATGATCAGAGACAAAAGGAAGACTAATTAAAGCACATCCCATTTTCCTGACTATTCTTTGCCTTTAATCAGATTAATCTTAATGAAAACTGTTCAATGTCTTTAGCACAGTGACAACAAACAGCTCGATGGGAAGAGGTATCAGCAGTCATTTGTTGGAACCCAACACTAAGTCAGAAATAGCACATGGATGTCAAGTTCCTTGCAGTTCTGACGCATTGGTAGTGGTTGCCTAAACACTCTAACAATAAGGATTTTAAGACCACTCCAGGGTTTCAGGGGAAGCGTGCCATGACTGATTAGTGATGTCTGCCTTGGGCATGGATTAGGGGATGATTACCTCCCTGCCTAGTATTTCTGATCCTGGGCTGGTCTTGCTTTGCGTTCAGATTCTGGGGTGCTATCTGCTACCAGTGAAAGATCAGAAGGTCTAGTGTGCAGTTCCAATCCTTCAGGAAATACTCCCGGGGAACACATCTCCCTGCCTGCTTGTTATCTCTGGTTCAGGGCCAGTGCCTTGGGCCGAGCTTTTAAGGGCTCCAGTCCAAACTATGAAGTTGATGCATTATTCAGACCTTTCGACTCCATACTTTGTCTCTGACCATGGATAGTATCTTTCTGACCTTTTGGTTCTTTGATGGATCCCCCATTTGTTTGGCATAAGAATTAATTTATTCCCAAAGCTGCTTAAATTAGAAATCTTAGAGAGTGTCTTTTGTGGATTAGAACAAAAATACTTAGGCAGGCCCTCTGATCCTTTTCCTTTTATACCAAGGTCTACTTGGCCTTTGTAGGGCAAATGGGTACAAAACTGTCTCCTTGGCCATGTGTAAGAAATGAAATATTGGCTTACCTAGAAAGTTCTTCAGACAACCGGCTAAAAACCCCAGATAAACATAGCATCTATAGGGTTTCCCAGATTTGGGCAGGGTGACCTGTATCCTCCCTTCCTGGGTGCACACACAAGTCTTCAGAAAGATATAGCCACAAGCAAAGCCAGTTTTCCATAAAAACAACCCAGCCTCTCACAGACTGTGCCACTGTGCAACAACAGGTTATCAGAGAGCTTCTCTAAAGAAGCTAGCTCTTGCTGTGCTATTGTTCTACCATTTACAGTGTTTCCTTGAATCATTTCAGTCACATAAATTTAAACCTTAGATAAGGAAACGTTATTTTATGGCTAGAGTTTCCCTCTTCCATCCCTGGCCACATCACAAGATCCTCATTCTAGAAGTCACAAGGTTAGCAAGGATAAGAGAAGATAATGGTCACATTCTGTGCCCTCCTTAACACAAGCAAAAATAAACTTCATGAGGGTTGATGTTTTGCAAGACAATACTTCTATTACTGTGCAAATGTACCTACTTGTACTTTATGCTGTGCTAATGAACTCAACTGATGAGAAGTTTCACAAAGATACCCTTATATAATCAAAACAAATCCAATTTCCTGAAAGAGTAAATAGTTATTACTGAGCTCATTGCTTAATCTTTCTTTTTTTGTGTATTATAACAATGGAATTCTTCCATTTGAAATACTTCAATTCTTAAATCTAAACAAAAATGGAAGGACTGTGATTTCGTATGTTTTAGGTTGGCAATAATGCCTTCAGTGTGATAGCTTTTTGCATTTTGCAATTTGCTGCCTTCCACAATTCAAATTTCATGGTTTCATTTTCAGAAAAAAAGATATTTTTAATTGATCACTCATGCTTCTCTAGCCATATGCCTACCACAAAGGCATGCACATTTTCATACAAAATTCACTGTTTCCATTTGGCAACTGAGTACCTTTAACTGTGTGAATCAACAGTGTAAAACATCACATAATCCATTGAGAATACACTAATAGAAATATATGCCTTCTAAACCCTGGTATACAAAACACACTGCTTAAAGACAGCTTAATTATTCCCATAATCCTGTTCTCCCAATGCAATGTCTTCTAGAACACTAAGAATCAGTGAATTCAAATCCTGAACACTTCTATACTTCTCACGTTTTTAAATGGGTAAATTATACCCCTGGATCTTAACTGACAAGATTCAGAGTCATGACCAGAAATAATAAATGAAATGGTAGAGACCTATATTGCCAAATATTCATTAAAACAAAGCTCATCTATAGAACAACTACAATGCTTCCTGCCTTTCATATTTCTCAAGCATAAATTTCCAAGAAAAAGATTTCATGTTTTTAACCTGCTGCATGGGTAATAGTTATCACATCCATAGACTTTGATGCTGCACATCAGTCCCCGTAAACATGTCCATGGTTATCAACTTACTGGCATACACTGCATTTCACTACTCTAACTGGTATGTCACTATTCCTCTGGCCCATGGATAGATAAAGCAATGAAATGATATTCAAGTTGGTTTCACAGTACGCATGCGTTATGAATTTGAAATACATTTCTGACACATACTATGCTCCTTGTACATATATTTTAGAAGGACTTACTCTAAGAACTTCCTTTTATGACTCAAACCATAATCTGGAGCCATTCACAGTCCTTGGTTTTAGAATTCTATGTGGTTTCATTTTCATTTTAAAGACAGCCCAAACTTCTAGCTGCTGAATCAAACCATTTAGGGAAAAGACATATTTCAGTTGGAAAACCAGCCAAAGTCCACTAATCCCTTCTGTGATTTTTACAGAGAACAGAAGTAACAATGTAAACAGTCAAGATTCAACTAATTTGAGAAGCAAGGATACGTAAAATTGTAGACATTTCAACTTCAATCCTTGTTTTCCCCATTTAGGGTCCTAAGTCCTTGACTGTTTAACTGGCTTCTCCAAAGTAGCATGGAACCAGGCTCCACATCTGATGTGCTGACGTCTCATCAGGCTACACTAGTACTCTCTCTCTCGAGCATGCCATGAGGGCTCAGCCCCAGTTCTGGTTTCAGCTGTACCAACAAGTCAGGGACATCTCCAGTGAGTAAAGGACAAGACAGCTCATAAAGATCAACCTGTGAGGACTGCCCAATTTGCATGTTCCCACAACCATACCTGGGTAGGCACAGAACTCAAATGTACATAAATCACATTTAGAATCAACACTGTATCACTGCATGATTTGCCCACATTCAAACCCAGATCAACACACACTGATTGCATTAAGATTCAACTTATTACAACTGCTAAACTCACCGACTCGTATAAAACATGTAACTATATGATGGGAGCATGTACACTGAACATGCCTTGGACCAACATAATAAATCCCAATCATTTTGAAAACTTTGAATTTTCATGGCTGAATATAGCTAATCCAGCTACATTAATTCCATCATTTGAGACAATTAATGTACATCCAGCTGTTGGGAGCCTAGAGTAGAATTACAATCAAAGTTCTCCTATATCCACCAATTTAGAAATCCATGTAGATATAGATGTTGTATAGCTCACATACGCGACCCAATTCACAGTGAGTGCCTACACAGCTGCTAGGAAGAAAGAGAGCAGGCAACGATCACCCTCATCCTTGGGAATAATGGACTATGTCCCTCCTCTCTTATCCCGAGGAAATAGGTATGAAAGAAGAGGGAGTGGGTAATGAATGAATATGAAGGCTTAGTTGAGACAGATTATTTTATGCTGGATAATCTCTTGCTACACTGAATCACTCTAATAAGTTAACTTGAAAAGGCTTACCTTTGGTTGGTTTCCAGTGGAATGAATGTAGCACAGCTCAATGCAGGTTTTAGACTTCTGCAGCATCCATCTGCACTAATTCAGGATTTGTCTAGGCTTGGGAATATCATTCTACATTCTAAAACCTCTCACTCTATACATTCAATCTGGTTTCAATATTTACAAAAAGAAACATGTTTTTGAAATGTGCGGTGTGGTGTGCGTTCTCACTTACCTTTTCTGCTGATTGAGCAGTGCCAAAAAAAATTGGAATGAAGGCAAGCCAAACTATACATGTCGTGTACATGGTGAATCCGATGGGCTTGGCTTCATTAAAGTTCTCTGGGACACCCCGAGTCTTGATGGCATACACAGTGCATGTGACCATAAGAAGGATGCTATATCCCAAGGAGCAGATGATCTGTAGGTCCGTAATGTCACACTTGAGAACCCCCCGGGCCTGTTCGGGGTTCATCGTCTTATGTTCATCATAGTCTATGATGATGTTAGGTGGGTCAACACCAAACCAAATGAAAACGCCAAGAAGCTGAACTGATATTAAACTGGAAGTGATCGCCAGCTGTGATGTTGGGCTTATGAGTCTGGGGGCTGTCACTGATTTCTTGCCCTGTTCAAATATGCGGTAAATCCGATTGGTTTTGGTCAAGAGGGCTGCGTAACTGATGCACATACCCAAGCCCAAGAAAACTCTCCGGAAAGAACACACTGCCACATCGGGTTTGGCTATCATCAGGAAGGTGATGATATAGCAGAGAAAGATGCCCGTCAACAGAACGTAGCTCAGTTCCCGCCCAGACGCCCGAACGATGGGAGTGTCGTTGTAGCGGATGAAAGTGGCCATGACGAATATGGTGGCGATGATCCCCAACATGGCAAGAAAGACGGGGATGACAGCCCAAGGCGAGTGCCACTCCAGTTTGATGATGGGGATATCCTGGCAGCCAGTTCGGTTTTCATTGGGTCGCTGGTCGTAGGGGCAATGCTGGCATGTCATCTCATCAAACTGGTACTGGTAGCCGTCACAGGGCTCACAGGTCCAGCAGCAAGGGGTCCCCTTCTGTGTCTTCTTTCTTTGCCCAGGCTTGCAGGGCATGGTACACACAGAGGCAGGGATCTCCCGGACTCCTTTACCCCACTGCATGTCCTCTATCTGCAGCAGGAAATAAGGAGGTGAAGCAGGCAGGTTAGTTAAGAGGAAAACACAAACAGTAATTACAGCAACATGTGAGACTTGACGAGGTAAGCTAACCAACCCCAGCTGGTAGAAGCTACAACCAAGATTCAGCCCACACCATTCACTGTAGCATCCTCATTCCTCACTACTGTAGGGTGTGCCAAACATGCCTGATTATAAGAATCCCGGTGGTAGCTTTCAGTAGTACTAATTTTCTGTTCCCACCTAGAGCCCCAAAATAAGAATATCCTGAAAAGGAGCCTCTGGAGCTTTATTTTCAACAAACACTCAGAAGATTCTTCAAATTAAAGTCAGTGATTACTGACACGCTCTCTACTGCCGTCTTCTGGAGAATAAGTGCAAATGTCCCAAGTTAAGTTAAAAATCTTTAATATGAAATGCTACATTCATTTCCCTTATTAGACACTTTTTAAAAAAGTATTTTTTAAGTTATTTTGGATGATAAGTCAGAGCTGGCCACTTTTTCTAAAATTCTGTAAGCATCAGTGCCATTTCATTGAGAAGTTTCAAACTGAATGAACCTATTCTATTTCTCACAGAGGAGTGATAAGGTTCATTATCGAAAGTTTTAATTGTAGCTCTGGAAGCATTTGATAAGAAAATAATACAGTATGGAAACCTCTCAAGATTAGCCATGTACCCACTTGAAGATGAAATTTAAACTAAAACACTATATCCTAGAGGAGGATGAAAGTATGCTTATTAATTAGAATACTGACTTTCTGGAGGGGAATTCATAATTAACAGTCTTCTGAGAAGTAACGGCATTAGATACAAATAAGAGCTTTATTGCTGGGATGAAATTTCATCTTTTCCAGCACAGCATCTATTATTTTTATTTTCCTGATATCAGTCCTCTGAATTTCACCCCCCACCATGTGCTTCCTGTGAGATATTGGGAGTCCTTTGACAATTACTTGGAGGGGTTTTTACAACCCAGTATGCTGAGCCCCACTCTCGGATTTTTTCTGATTTACTGGGACTAGGAGGGGACCCGAGAGTATATATTTCTAACGAAATCTCAGATGGTGTAGCTAGAGATTCTCTAGCCATCACACCTTGTAAACACTGACATATTTCAACCTCCCAGTCACAGAGACTGAATCAGGAATGGGGTCATTATGGCATGACACGGAATTTAACTTTATGACTTTTATAGAGATTACATAGGATAAAAAGCTTTGTTTTTGCTGGACTTGCAATTTCCAGGATAGAAAGATGTGGTGTGCATGGCTATATGAAGAAAGGCATTTGCCAGAGAAGAAGCCAATATAAAGGAAAGCAGAGCAAAGAGTTAATGAGAAACATAACCCATGAGCCTGCTTAAGCTCCTGGATATAGCTGTGCCTGAAGCAGGTTTTTCCTACATTGTGTCATTATGTGAGCCAGGAAATTATGCTATGCTGAAATACTTTGAATTGCATTTCTATTACTTATCACCAAAGGTCCTGACTCTGGGAGTTGGTGATGGACAGGGAAGTCTGGTGTGCTGCAGTCCACGGGGTCACAAAGAGCTGGATGTGACTGAACTGAACTGAAGGGTCCTGAAGAATATACCAACTAAATAAAGAACTTCAGTATCTGTAATCTGCAAAGTGATTCACTTAAAAGAGAAAAATGCAGAATAAATTCCAATGAAAAAATTTGGCTGATAATCCCCATATCTAGTTAATTAAATTCTTATGATATTTGAGCTAAAATATAGACTAGAAAGATACTGGAAAGTCTGAGACTTTTTTTTAAAAAAATGCCTACTTTTAAGAGATAAGGGGGGGTGGGTACTAATTTATTGCACAGTGAAATTCCATTGCTGTGTTAAAACAGGATGCAGTGTATTGCAGGGTGTGATATGTCCATCAAAACTTGAATGAGAACTACATTTAACATCCAAATCAAATGCAGTTAACTCTGGAAGAAAGAATGGTTCAAAGATTAAACTTTATAAAACATAACCTTCTAGTGGTTGAATTTAAACTTTAATCAGAGACCTAAGAATCTTCGGATGACTCCTATGAACTCATTTGCATGAGCACAAAGCCCAAGTCAGCACTAATAAATCTAACTAAATTTAAAACATAATCATTTCTTTCTCAGCATCATCATTTTTGAGCCAGTAAGTCACTGGCAGCTATCCCAAAGTCATAAAATTAAGGAAATAATTTGTGATAAAAGAGAAAAAGACATGCATTAACTTTACAAATGTCCAATTTCAAGAAGTGGGAGCCTAAAAAAATTGCTATTATTAATACAAATGTTTCCAAATGTCAAAGTAAAAGGCCCTACTCATGATCAGCAAGAAAGATTAACAACAAAAAAAACAACCTTACAAATAAATTTCATTAGCTAAGCTTGAGATTGCCTGATTCCAACATGAGTGGAAACTGAAATGTCATATGATTAAACTTGATCTATGGAACAGATGTAGGGCTCAAATATAAAAACAAATTATCATTATATGTAATATTTTAAAGCCAATTTCAAATGTTGCCAGCTTGCAACCCCCTCCTCCTCCTTTCAAACAAAATGGTCAGCAAAGTTGAACAGATTTTATTCCCTCAGACTTAACCAAATATATACAAAAGCTATAACCACAAACATTACATTGACTGATTACTTAATTTGTTTTCAATTTTCATTTAAAGTAGATCTCCACTCAATTTAATTGTATATACTAAAGCAATAAAGTTGCCTCTTGCTCCAAATGAACAAAAGTCTAATTTACTTGCTTTGACAACAAGAATCATTATTGAAAATATAATCTATGTTCCATAAATGGAGAAGACTTCTCTTCCCTGGCAAGGATTCAGCCAATGAAAAGCCACGGACCCTTTGCCCTCCAACTTCCTTTTCCCCGCTATAAAAATATTCTCCTTCCCTTGCTGTGAGGGGTCTTGCATGTGGCTTGCCATAGTTTCAGATTCCAAATTATAATTCCCTTGTTCAAATAAACCCATCTTTGCTGGAACAATGTATGTCAGTTTATTTCAGGTTGACAAAGACTAGGAAAAAGGTTAGGATGGTCACCATCATCTTCTGTAGAAGTCACAGTTCTAAATTCCCTGATAAGGATGCATCTTCTTCCTGGGCACCCAAAGTTTATGGTTAGTGGAGACTGGATCAGCTCAGTAGCTGGCTCATGGAGAAGGGATGTTGAGATCTCAGCTCTTGGCAAGAGAATAGAACTGTAGAGCTAGTCCCACTAATTAACACCATGCGTGGCACATAGATTCTTATAAGTAAGCAAATCAAAAGCTTAATAAAGAGAAAATTAGGCAATTCTGGCCAATGAAAGCAAAAATGAGTCTTTTGTGGTGTCCAAGCGAAGTGTTCTTCACTCTATCAAGAAGAGACACGAAGAACTGACATACTGTCATCAGTCTTTGATGTGTGCTTTTGTGATATACGGAGCTGAAGCAGCCGTTTTGCCACCACAAAGAAACAAATGGAAAGAACAAAGCTAACATGCTGAAGATAGTAAAAGAAAACCAAAATGGAATTTGTATCTTTGATGGAGTTGAAATAACTTTCTAGCGTCAACATGGAGCCACTCCTCTACGGGGTATCATGTTAGTAAGCCAACACTTATATAGCTTTCACATTCCTATAAACAAGCTTCATTCAGTCAGAAATACAGTATGTCCACTTAGCCATTAGCCGATCTTCAAAGGCTAAGTGAATTCAAGAGATTCTCACTCCAAAGAGACTATGTGGGCTGATCAGATAATTTTTATATGTCTTTTCCTTGTTCTTTATTTTTTATTCCGTACGAGCTTTCTGCTTTCCACCCCATTTTTCAGTTCTCTGAAAGAAGACTGTCCACAAAGTGTTAAGTAAAGTGTGCTGGTACCACCTAAATTATCTTTAATCGTTTTTTTAACAGTGGCATCATGATGTCAACCAAATGAAACCAATACTGGTACCACCCAACCCTGAAACATGAAATGATAAACTTCCCTTGGTTAACCAATACCTCATGGGTACCCCACTCCTTGCAGTCAAACATTCTAATGAATACACTCTTTCTTATTTCTGCATCTGGTATGTGAAGGCTTGAGACTAGTTAGCCAATAATTTAAGCTCTTGCATGAGTAGTAGAGAGTTCCAGAGGAAAAGCAAACTTGTGAATTACACGTAATCAGAAACACTTGGCTTTGTCTCCTGAAAACACTCAGAAAAGAGGGTGGGGAAGACCTGGACTCAGAAAATCAGCTGTGACCACACTGCTTCTGGTTCACACAGAGACAATGAAAAAGCACCTGTCAACTGAAGTTTCTTAGCACGTGTGCTGGCAAAGAAAAAAGGGTCTGGCTCTATACTCCACAGGGGGTGCAGAAACCTTATAACCACTGGAATTTTAAAATAAAACCCAATGAGTTTCTGTCTTACTGCCAAACGCAGAAATCAAACTGAGCGGATTTTTATAAACACTGTTCAGCGCATCCATTTTTATCTAGAAGAGATCTGTTCTTTTCCCGGCACAGACTTTTTCTCTTTGAAAGAAAACTGTGTCACTCCAGAGATATTTTCTTAGGTGAAATTCTATTTGCATCTTTCCAGCACATACTCTGTAGAGCAGGCTAGCTGGTGCTTTTATTGCACAATTCCCTGCAATATTATTTTTGCTTATTAATACCGTAACAGAATGAGCTAATGTAAAAAGAGCTTTCTATTAAAACACCATTTGTTCATTAAAATATATTTGTCCTGGCTAATTTATGGAAAAGTCTTTTCAGGAAAAATGCACAGGAATGTGGAACATGCAGCACTAGAAAAGAACCAGCTTTAGTTTCCAGTGTGGAGTGGGTCAGGGGGAATGGCTTCACAAGGAGTTTTGTAGCACATCTGTCTTTTTTTTTTTTTTTTTTTGAGACTCAGTCCTGATTGTTAAACCTTAGGCAGAACGACTGGACTATAAAACAGAATTTCAGGACTGCTATAAACACACTTAATTCAGA